TAAGTGAATGAATGATTTTGAAATCTAACTTTATATGACATTGTTTTTCATAAACTAACCAAATAGGCTGTACAAAAGGAATAGTTTGTCTGCTTGCTTCTCTAACCTCCTTTTTTGTTTTATTTCTTTTTTATAGTGTCTAAATGGTTGTCTTCTCAGTTGTTGCTTCTTCCTGGCATATGTTTCCTTCAGCAGCAGCAATGCCATATTGGAGAAATGCTTTGGATGTTAGCCTAAGCAAGACTTGAAATCAATAGATGATAAACACGAATCATAAGTGTTGAAGTTTCTCAATGTAATAATGTATACTTTATGCTGTATACCTTTACCTTTACCTTCATTCAGTTCCTAAAATCACACACACACACACACACACACACACACACACACACACACACACAATCTGAACATGTTTCATAAAAGTAGTGTTCTAAAGGGCTGACTAGATAAATCAGCAGACTAAAGCTTCTGCTTAGGCAGGCATAGGGGCAAAAGTTCGATCCCCAGCATGTCATGCTGGCCCCCAATCCAGGGCATAATGAGAGGCAACTGAGACTGGGTGTAGTGGCATATACCTGTATTCCCAACTCTTAGGAGGCTGAAAACAGGAAGATCACTATGAGTCCGATCTGTGTAGTGAGACCCTATAGACCCTGTACTAAATACATAAAATGCTCTAATTCAGAGTGCAACTGGCTAATTGAGGATTTAAATATTTTATCACTAAAATGTTCTGTTTAAATTTCATCCTCAGGGGTTATGATTGCCACATAAATTTACTTGTCTTGCTTTTTTATTGTGGTAAATCAACCATTTAAAAAATAGCCATGAAAGCCAAAATATTCGTATCCAAGAAGAATTTTAACTCCAACAGTATATAAAAAAACTAAATTATAAGAAAATTAATATATGAATCCCTGGCACCACATGCCACATGGGCCCCACCCCCAGGCACTCGGAGCTAGACAGAGTCCAGGCATGATGGTATATGCTTGTAATCCTGCCTCTAGGGAGGCTGAAAACAAGAGGATCACTACAAGTCTGAGCTGCACAGTGGGAATACCAAATACATAAAAAAAGAAAATTAATATAATGTTCAGACCATCATACATTTAATAGTGAAGGACTTCAAAATATGAATTATCTGTGGAATTAAGTTATTACATTTCAATAATTTTGAGCTCCTTTGTGCAAGGCAAGTCTCCAATTTCTTCAGAGACTTCTGACAAAGTGGATTAAGACAGACTTAAAGCTAAAATATGATCTGTCCGGTGTCTAATAAATTTACCTTGGCTCTGCTTATAGATTTCTCTAGGCTCTTTTAGCTTAGCTCTTCATGCCATTTCTTGAGAAAGATAATCTGTTCCTGTGAAATGGAGATTAAGCTACAGACACCATTCTCCTTCTCTTTAGAATGAAGAATTATCTACTCCTAGAAGGTTTAGAATTATGAATTATCATGTGGGAGTGAAGTCACTAGAACTAAAGAAACAAAATGAGCCAGTGGATTCCATCATTCACTTTGTTTGCTTGTTTTTTCTGCCCCTACCTCCACTTTGTGTAATTCATATTTTTTCTATAAAGTCTCAAAGGGTGTTCATGACCTAACTGCTACAATCCAGTTACAAGGCTGTAGATGTACTGAAACTTTATTTTTTCAGCCATGAGGCCCATCCCTTTATACAATCAGAGAGTTACCATGGCACGAGAAGAGTTGAGAAGACTATGTTAACAATATAGAAAAAAGATGAAAGAAAGATACTGATTCATAAAGATAGACTATGATATATTTTGAAGCCAAATGTCTTTCCTAGATTAGTGATTTGATAAGTAGATATCTATAGAAATAATTTAAATCATACAGCTTGTTTAAGAAAAAAGTATTACATAGTGTCAAAGTATCAATGTGCTTTCACACACGTAATCTCACAGGGGGTCCCTCCAAGATGCCCAGATGGAGCAGGACAAAGGCCGACTGCAAATATTCCCTCAGGTTCAGAGATTGAAGAGCCTCTTTTCTGTTAGTACTTTTTTAGCATTTTATAAACTAGTGAAAGTGGCATACTGACTTCAAAAACAAGTTCTATTTTTGAGATTTCCATTTATTTGCATGTTAATGTATGTTTTAAAAGTTTGCTAAGTAGTGCTTCACTTACTTTACTCTTGCTAAAACTATAAGCATTTAGAAGACTCCCTCTTAAATAACTTAATCTCTGTAAGCCTCAGTTTCCTCCTCTACGAGAAGAAACAATAGTAATAACTGCATTGGGTCACTGTATGGGTAGGTAACTAGAGAACAGCCAGGGCTTATGATAGAGCCCTGCATAGAAAGCGCAAAATCCTGCTGAGTTTAATTCCTGGTACCAAAAACAAACAAAGAGAAAAGACGTGTGTGCTGTGATTGAAATTTATGGTGAATATTTACATTAGGAAATTATTACATAAAAGGATTCATTACCATTAATCTCATTCAAAACACTCTCCCTCCTTTGTACCCATGTATACCACTTCCTCAAGCCCTTCTGGAAGTCCTTCTTTAGGTCTTTTAGTTGATTGCATTGTTGTTGCTACCTCATTGTCTAGAACTGATTCCAAGTGTTTATTTTCATAGTCATTATGACTCTGGGGAAGAGCTAGACGATCCATAGGGTCAGATGCAGTAGATGAGGATGCACAGTACTTCTTTTGAGTTTGCCTGTACATTGAATGGCAAGCAGCAGCTTTCACCATTTTAAAAAATCAATTCCACAGGAAAAAAAAGGAAAGAAAATCAACCTGGTAAAGACCTCCTTAAGACTTCTGTAACTGCTTCAGAACGTGGCAAGAATGGTGGGATGTGTGTTTGAAGTGTGAGGAAGTATTTTGAGGGGGATCAGTGGCAGTGTCTTTTACTGTGATAAATTATTAAAAATTCAAACATTTACCATATATGTGATCACATCTCATATGCCATATTATAATTGCTCAAAATGACAACACTGACAACAGTTCACAAAAATCTATGAATATATTTAATAATTTTTGTTTTATCCGCAGGTACAATAATAATCTAGAAGATGCTAAAAGAATTGGGATAAAGAAAGCAATCACTGCCAACATTTCTACAGGTGCTACTTTCCTGTTGATCTATGCATCATATGCTCTAGCCTTCTGGTATGGGACTTCCTTGGTCCTCTCAAATGAATCTTCCATTGGACAAGTCCTCACTGTAAGTTTTCTGTGAGTTGTAAAAATCAATGAGTTACAGTTCTGGCTTGTGTCTAGATGCCCCCCAACCCCAAGCCTCATGCCGTCATAGGTAGAGCTTTTCAGAGATCTGGAGGACATGACACTGGGATTGAGGGCATATAATTACTAACTTAGTCCATTTATTGGTTTGATGTAGTTCTGTGTAGGATTAAGAGTACCTCACCCTGGTGTGTGTGCTATCTTCTCTCAGGGGAGGCAACCTGGATGCATATAAGTGACAGAAATAGGGCTGCTGTTGTTGGCTGTTGCTTGTAGCTTGCTGCCTGCTGCCTTGCTGGCTTCTGCCTTCTGCCTGCCGTGAACTGTTTCTTCTCTGCAGTGGCCCTCTGCCATGCCATCCTGCCTTGGAGCTAGCCAGCACTGATCTGAAACCTCTTCAAACTGTGAGATACCATAAACCTTTCCTTCTTTAACCTTGGATGTGAAGTATGTTGTCTCAGCAGCAAGAAAAATAACTAAGACAGTCACTGTTAAAAAAAAAATGCCAGTGAGTGATATTGGCTTGACTTGAGAAGAATATATTTTGAAAATCTATTGAAGATACAAAAAAAAACCCCATATATTATTAGGTTAGCATGAAAAGCACATTCATTTAACCTAATAAGTGATTTTGCTGATGTTTTTCTGATCTCTTGCACAATTTCTTCTGAAGCTAAGAAGCATTAACATTTCAGATATTTCTAGCATGAGCTTTTGTCTGATGAAACTATTTCTTTGTGTCAAAACTCATGCTGAGCACTATACTTGTATTTTTGATTTATTCTTTACAAACAGTAAAATATAGTTTACTTTCTTTTAAGTTTTTCAATGACAGCTAGTCTACCTCACAAATTTATAGAAATAAAAGATATTACTCTTCAGGAAAGGAAGTTCTGCTTACAAGTTTTCTATACGATATGGCTTTGTGTAAATGTGGAAGATGTTGCCACTTGATGTTGTCTACTTTTATTTAAAGATGGTGGAATAATTTGTAAACAATATGCTCATAACCTTGAGGCATCCAGAATTGTCAGTACAGAACTTGTCATAGACTGATGTTGTTCAGATTCTGAGTGGCTTATGTCAACCATATCAAACTTCTAGCCTGTTACTTCTTCCGCCAGGTGGACATGACAGGAAACATGTGCCCCACCTTTTAGTGTTGTAGTAAGGACTAATTGAGATAGTGAACCTACAAATGTTTAGCAAAGTTCCTTCTAGGTAAATTGTTGCTCAGTAGAATTCCTGATAGACTTAGAAAGAAATGAACAGTGATGCTAGTTCTCATCAACTTTGAATACAAGCAAAGTGTCATTCTGCTTCATTTTATCCTTATGGTGATCTAAATAAAATTTCTAACTATTGAAGAAATAAAAATTTCATTACAGTGCTATGGTCATATAGACCATATGTCATTGTTTCACTAAGCAAATGACACTAATTCTGCATTATACGCATACTAGATAAAAAGATTTAAATATTAAAAAAGATTTTTTACATTTGAAAAACATTAATTTCAGTTGACTAATCATAATTTGTTATTGTTGTTATAATGTTGGAGTATAATGTGTTTTGATTATGTATGTGATGTGCAATGACTAAATCAAGCTGATTGACATCTATCACCTCATTAATTTTCATTTTTATGGTGACACATTTAAAATTACTCTCTTAGTTATACAATAAAATATTCTTAACATCTCCCATCGTTTTGTTGCCCTGTCATTTTAAATGGAATGCATTATGCTAGAAAAACTTATGAAAAAAAATTGTACTAAACACTAACTTGAGGATTTTCCTTCACATTTGCCAGGTCTTCTTTTCTGTAATAATTGGGGCTTTCAGTGTTGGACAGGCATCTCCAAACATGCAAGCATTTGCAAATGCAAGAGGAGCAGCTTATGAAATATTCAGAATAATTGACAATGTAAGTCTAAACTGATAATTTATCTGTCTTGTAAAGGACTGTCCAGTTTAGAGTCCCTATTGGCACTACTTTGTCTTGTTCTCCCCAAAGTATTACTAAAAAGCAATAATTGTAACATAATACTGATTTCAAAATTTATATACTTCAGGAGCCATGTATTGACAGCTTCTCAACAAAAGGCCACAAACCAGACAATATTAAGGGAAATTTGGAATTTAGAAATATCCACTTCAGTTACCCATCTCGCAAAGAAGTCAAGGTATAATAACTGACTAATCTATGATTAAATAATATGTTCCATGAAAGTCTCTGACACTAAAAGATTGTAAAGAACAATACCTGTGTATTGCAGCCTAGTATTGAATTGAGCTGTCAGTTCCCACACCCCCTCTCTGCATGTGCAAGTTGCCTTACAGTCTGTTTCTCACTTGCCTTGGTAGATCCTGAAGGGCCTCAATCTGAAGGTGCAGAGCGGGCAGACCGTGGCCCTGGTTGGCAACAGTGGCTGTGGGAAGAGTACGACGGTACAGCTGCTGCAGAGGCTCTATGACCCCTCAGAGGGCACGGTGAGCCAGTGTGATCCTCAGCAGTTATGGCTGCAGATGTTCCTCACTCTGTGCTCTCAACTACACATGTGTGGAAACCTCACTTGCTGTTTCTTTCAGGTCACTATTGATGGGCAAGACATCAGGACCATAAATGTGAGGTATCTGCGAGAAATTATTGGTGTGGTGAGTCAAGAACCTGTGCTGTTTGCCACCACGATAGCTGAAAACATTCGCTATGGTCGAGAAAATGTCACCATGGATGAGATTGAGAAAGCTGTCAAGGAAGCCAACGCTTATGACTTCATCATGAAACTGCCTCAGGTGAGTGGCTCTTGACCTCTGTTATTGCTCAGGGTAGAAAGTGGGCAACTGGGGCCCTGTTCAACCCATAGAAGTTCAGAAGCCGCTACAAATTAAAGGAACTTCTGACACATTGGAAAAGCCTCCTAGAAAGGGAAATCGAGATTGCTTTGGACTTTTAATGCTCTGGCATGATCAAGGAGCAGTTGATAATTTTCAAAACCAGGGGTGAGTTATCAGTAAAGGTTAAATAGTTGGATTACATTACCTGCAAGGCATGGGTAGTTTCCAGTTCAAATTGGATGTGAAATAGTTTGTGTTTTTTTCTAAGTCTTTTGATAATTTTTTCTTTTAATTTTTTTTTTTTTCGATACCAGGGATTAAACTCAGGCGCTTGTGCTTGCCAGGCAAGTGCTTTTTCTACTGAGCCATCTCCCTGGCCCCTGATAATTTTTTCTGTTGCAGAAATTTGACACCCTGGTTGGAGAAAGAGGAGCGCAGCTAAGTGGTGGACAGAAGCAGAGAATTGCCATCGCACGTGCCTTGGTTCGCAACCCCAAGATCCTGCTGCTGGATGAGGCCACATCAGCCCTGGACACAGAGAGTGAGGCAGTGGTCCAGGTGGCCCTGGACAAGGTCTGTGTGCCCACCTCACATCAGCTGGTTTGAAGCACAGTGTCATCCCACTGTTAATTATTTTTAATGTTGACCTTATAAAATATATTTCTGGCAATTTCAAGGTGATTCTCCTTACTGACTAAAATAAGAGCAGCAGGCCTTCAACTTTATTTTTTTGTTTCTTTGCTCATTGAACTTCTATGGTTTTCTTATTTGTTTTTAGATGGCAATGAATTAATATCCACCTACAAATATCTGTTAATCTTTAATATGAACTCAAAAATTGGTCTTTATTTGGCTCTTGATGTCCTCTGCTGCCTCATTTTTCAGAGAACTATAGTTTTCATTGTAGAAGGCTTTCACTTCCTTGGTTAGGTTAATTCCTAGGTATTTCATTTTCTGTAATGCTATCATGAATGGTATTCTTATGATTTCTTTCTCTAAGTTCATTATTGGAGTGAATGATACTAATGATTTTTTTTCTGTTCATTTTATATCCTGCTATACTACTGAAGTTAGTTATTAATTCTAAGAGTTTTTTAGGTGGAGTTCTTTGGGTTTTCTATAATATGATGTCTTATCTGGAAATACTGATAATTTGAGTTCTTCCTTTCCATTATGTATCCTTTTATTTCTTTCTCATGCCTGATAGTTCTAGCTAATGTTTCAAGTACTACATTAATCAAAAGGTGTGATAATTGGCATCTTTGACTTATTCCTGATTTGAGAAGGAAAGATTTTAGTTTTTCCCTATTTAATATGACATGGACCATTGGTTTGTCATATACAGCTATTATGAAATTCAGGTGTGTTCTTTCTATACCTATTTCCTTCAAGGTTGTAATCATGAAAACATTTTTTTGGATTTTATTGAAATACTTTTCTGTGTCTATTTATATAGTCATGTGTTTTTTTATTAATTAAGTTTATTGATATATTTTTGGTATGCATTATGACTACATTCATTAGAGGGAATTTGTAGTTGTGCATGGTAGAACTTGATTCATTTTTTTCCCAACCCTCACTTGCTTCTATTTATGTGATGTACCATATTTATTCACTTATGTATGTTGAACCATCCTTGCATTGCTGAGATAAAACCCTTGTGGCTGTAATGTATGATTTTGGCATACACCACTGTGCCCAGTCTGTGTGATCTTTTTCATAGTATGCTAACTGTGCTTACAAGTAGCTTGTTGTTTTGCCTCTATGTTCATTGATGAGACTGGCCTGCAGTTTTGTATTATCGTTATTATTATTATTATCACTAATGTATTCAGGACAGGGTCTACAGGGTCTATAGGGTCTCACTATGCAGATTGGACTCGTAGTGATTCATCTGTTTTCAGCCTCCCAAGTGGTGGGATACAGGTGCACGCCACCATACTCAGCCTCAATTGCTGACTCAGCATACCCCGAGGGCGGGGCCAGCATGGCACGCCAGTCAGGACTCAAACCCCAGCCGCTTCACTCTGCCTAAGCCGATGCTTTAGTCTGTTGAGCTATCTGGCTGGCTCTTGTAATTTTGTTTTATAATAGGGTGTCTGCTTGTGGAATCAGAGTGATGCTTGTTTCCCTAAATGAATTTAGGAGCATTCTATCCCTATTAATTTCTTTGAAGCATTTAAGGAATATAAGTGATATAATATTTTAAATAGTGCTGTAGAATTCAGCTGTGAATACATCAAGCTCTGGGCTTTTTAGTTGGTAAGTTGTTTATTACTGCTTGCCTTTCACTGCTTGTTCAGCAATTTTGTGTCCTCAGCTTGGTAATTTGTGTGAGATGAAGATTTTCTTCTGGATTTTACAATTTTTTGGACTATAATTTATATAGTAGCTATTATCATCTGAATTATGACCGTATTGTGCTTCACCATTTTTATTTCTAATGGCATTGATGTGAGTCTCTTCTCTCTTGGTAAATTTGTCTAATGGCTTATGTATTTTGTTTATACTTTTTAAGAACTAGTTCTTTATTTCATTGATTTTTTAAAATGTATTTGGTAAGGGTCTCACTATGCAGCTTGGACTCATAGTGATCCTCCTGTTTTCAGCCTACCATCGCTGGGATTACAGGCATGCACCCACACATCTGCACTCTGTGGCTGGTTCTGTGTGCCCAGGGGTGAGACCAGTGCAGCATGTGGTGCCAGGGATTGAATTTTGGTCCCTGCACTTGCTTAAGCAGGGGCTTAGTCAGCTGAGCTATCTCACCAGCCTGTTTTTTTTTTTTTTTTTTTTAAAGTCAGGATTTAATTGATTTCTACTGTAGTTCTTATGATTTCCCTTATTCTGAGTTGGGCTTGGGTTGTTTTTCTTCTCAATATTTTAAGAGTCCTCATAAGGTTTTTTATTTGCACTTCCTCTGATTTCCTAATGTGAGCATTGATTGCAATGCAGTTCCTTCTTAGATCTGAATTTGTTGTGTCTTAGAGGTTCTGGTTAACTGTGCATGCATTGTCATTAACTTCCAGAAATTTTACAATTTCTTCTTTGATCCATCACTTGTTTAGGAGGGTGTTTTTAATTTTCCAGTTGCTTCTACATTTCCCATGATTCCTTCTGTTGTTGATTTCTAATTTTATTGTACAGTGGTTTGAAAATACACCTGTGGTGATTTTATTTCTTTTATATCTATTTAAGCAGGTATTGTGGATTAGTATGTGTTCTGTTTTGGAGAAAGTAACATGTGCTTCAGAAAAGGATGTGTATTCTCTTTTAGTGGAATGGGATACTCTGTAGATACTTATTAAATCCATATGTTCAAGGCTGTGGTTCAGCTGTGAGAATTCTTTATTGATTTTTTTTCAATCAATTTTTTTTTCAAAATTGGGTATTAAGAACTTTCACTATCTTTAAAGTAGTTGTTCAGCTTACCAGATATACTTATTTTTGTTTTTATTCTTTCATCTTTAAAATAAAATGTTAAAAAGATCTTTCACTATGATTCTATTAGTGTTTATTTGATTTTTTAATACTCAGTAGTATTTGTTCTATGTAGATAGGTGCTCTAGTATTCAGTACATAAATATTTATAGGCATTATTTCATCTTGATGGATTGTTCCTTTCACTTTTATGTAGTGATGATCCTCTTTGTCTCATCAATCAATCTACTTTTAGGTAGATAAGCCATTTATTTAAAAATTTTACTAAACTGTGCATTTTTATTGACTTTTTGTTTAGTGATCTATGATTATAAATGTTACATGGGGTCCTGAAATCCCCCACTGTAATTGTGTTTATGTTCATGTGATCTCTTAGAGGCATTAGCACTTATTTGAAGAAGTTGATTGTGGCAGTCAGTGGTGGATACATGCTAATAATTGTTATCTCCTCCACTTGGATTGTTCCCTTGATCAATATGTAGTGACCATCTTTGCCTCTTTTGATCTTTTGATCAGTTTTGGCTTAAAGCCCAATTGCCTCAACGTAGGATATTTATACCTACTTTGGTGTTGGGTTCCTGTTACATGCATTGTTGCTTTCCATACTTGACCCTTAGCATATGAGTTTCTTTTTAGGTCAAATGTGATTCTTGTGTGCAGATTACTATTGAGTTTTGTTTCTCCATCTAGTCTGCTAATCTCTGTCTTTTGATAGGTGAATTGAAACCATTTATTAACAGTTATTACTGGCAAGTATTAGATTAGTATTCTCATTGTCTTATTTTTTTATTGCTGATTCCTTATCTTTCTCTCCTCTTTATTTGCTCATTCTGCATAGTGTATTCATTCTACTAGGCCTGTTATCATTTGTAGCTTCATTGTCACTTTGTAAAATATCTGAAAAAATTTTTGAGTACTGTTTTTTTGGTGATGAATTCCTTTAGGTGCTCGATATCATGGAAGAATCTTCTTTCTCCCTAAATTTTGAAAGATGGTTTTGCAGGATATATCAACCTGGGTTAGAAATCATTTTCTTTTAGGACTTGAAACATTTTGTACTGAGCTCTTTGGTTTTTAACGTTTGTGTTGAGAAATCTGCTGTAATTCTAATGCAGTTACCTTTGTAAATGATTTGTTGCTTTCTTCTAAACACTTTTAAAATTATGTTCTTATATTGAACTTATCATATTTTGATTTTGACATGTCTTGGATAGATTCTTTTTTAGTGTGGTTGTTTGGGGTTCTATGTACTTTACTTATCTGTCTATTAATTTTTTTATTATTTAGAAAATTTTCTGGTATTATTTCAGTAAGCATGGTTTTTATGTTATTGGTGCTATCTTCTGATTTTTCACTAATTACAGGCAATCTTAGATTCATCTCCTTTGCATCATGTAGGAGCTGTTGAGTAACTTTTTTATGTTGTGTTGTTATATTTAAGATATTTCTCATTAAACACTCATTGACAAGAATCCTACCTTGTAGATCAGAAATTGTCCCCACATTGTTCAATTCTGCTACTAATACTTTAATAGAATTTTTAATCTCTTTAATTTCTTTTTGGAGTCATTCTATAAACTCTCTTTTTTATGCTGGTAATGCATGTTTTCAATGAAAATTAGCTCTACTAGTTTTCTTTCTTTTTCTGCTAGCTTTCTATTGGTGTCTTTTATGAACTCATCGTTTTGTTTATTTTGTCCAGTATCTCTTCATTTATATCTCTTTGAGTTTCCAAAATGTTTTATTGAGTCATTTTGTTTTCTCCTGTTACATCATTTCAAATAATTTAGCTTTGGCTTCCTTTCCTTTGATGCCCTGTGTATCAGCTTAAGAGAAATGGAAGCTTTTGGAGGTCTTTTGTGAGTTTTCTTCTAGTGTCTCTGTTCTGCTGTTGCTGTATTTTTCCACTGAGACTTTATGTTGATTATAGGGAAAGCTTTGTGTTTAGTATCAAGGCCTTTTTAGTTAATGTCTACTTTTAAGCTGTATCTTCTAGATACAGCTAACTATTGGCGTTTACCTCTGTTCCAAGATCCAACCACCTGTTTACTTGGGATTGGGAGGTTGCAGCATATATTCCCCAGTTTCTGGTTCTCCAGGGATGGGCTGCAGCACCCTTAATAACTCTAAGG